TGAATTATAGCTTTGAGATCTCTCGAAACACTCTTGGCAAAAAGAAACATTGACAGGCAACTGGTCACAAGACTTCAGTACTTGTTTTCATGCTATGTATCATTATGGTCTCGTAAATTGATTTTATTTCTTTAACTTTGTTGATGGTTTATGAGGTGGCACCAAGTTAAAAATAAAAGTGAAATTGTGACACCATCTTCCTGTAACTGTCCCTCAACTCTTCTCCTAGCTGTAATTCCTTTTGTCTCTCAGTCTGCTTATTGTTTTCCTTATCATACTTTATCTTTGTACACCCCTTAAAAAATGGCTCAATGCTGTGCTCATCTCCATTTCATCATCCAGGTCACTGGACCTGAAGCGCTAACTCTGTTTTTCCCTTCACAGATGCTGCCTGACCTGCTGAGCTTTTCCAGCAACTTTGCTTTTGTTCTTCATCGCCATTTCGTTGACTTTTGAACTTTTTTTTTCTCTGATTGCAAGTGTCTCTCTGGCATTTCTCTTTTCTCACCTCACTTAAGCATTCGGCCAACTCAGATAATTTTTTTTCCACTTTTAATGCCAGGTTTTTCAATGTTCTTACCTCAGATGGAATGGCTTGCCTATCAGTGCACCAGTGGATTTTTTTTTCTTTATTCATTCACGGGATGAGGGTCTCGCTGGTTAAGCAGCATTTATTGCCCACCCCTAATTGCCCAGAGGGCAGTTAAGACTCAACCACATTGCTGTGGGTTTGGAGTCACATGTAGGCCAGGCTGGGTGAGGATAGCAGTTTCCTTCCCTAAAGGAAGTTAGTGAACTAGATGGGTTTTTCTGAGAATCGATTCATGGTCATTATTAGGCTCCTAAGTTCAGATATTTTTTAATTGAATTCAAATTCCACTACCTCCCATAGCGGGCTTTGAACCCAGGTCCCCAGAAAATCACCTGGGTCTCTGGATTAACAGTCCAGCAATACCACCACTGGGCCATCGCCTCCCCCATTAGGAGCTGTTTCTCTGCCTGGTAATGGCATACGTGGCAGTTACTAAGATGAGGGCATGTGAGGAACAACCTGGATCTTAAAAGGAAGATGAGCACTGGGACAGGAGCAGAAGTAGGTGGCTATAATTATACTTTGAAGACAGTTGGATATTATAGGGTCTGGGACTACTGTTTGAGAGACTGGGGAAAAAAACTCCTGAGACAGTAGCTATGAGAGAGGGTGAAGTGACCATGCTGGTAGGGCCAATGAATGGAAATGCTCCTGGGTGATACCCTGGGAGTGAAGAGTTCGGTTCAGGACTATGGAACGGATTGTGGAACAAGTGAAGAAAATGATGATGAATACTGTAATAATTTACTGCCCAATGTCCTGAGTTCTTATTAGATTGGTTAATACCTTAAAATTGATTCAGGGTCTTCAATATAAGGGTTCATGATCATTCTCTAATCCTCCTTTCTCAGGCATGCAAATGCACAACTATGACACAGTGCCACGAAGTGTGTGCTGGTATGCAGCCCTGATTACAGTCCACATAGATCCCTTGTAAAAGGCACTGTGCAGGATCAGGTCACAATGTAGAGTCTTCATTTGATTGGCTAAAAAAATCTGGGGACAGCTGTCAGTGGAGTGAAAAGTAAGCAAGCCCCATTCCTTTGTCGCTGACTGCAAACTGAGAAATAATAACATGCCTGTGGAAATAATATTATTTTTAATGCAAATTTACCTAATAAATCAATCATGCTAGAAGTTCATGGATTCTAAGGTGCATGTAAAACTGGGCTGTTGAATTCATAGCTGGGGACTAAATGTAGTAAAATTAATATTTCTGGCAGTTTCTGGCACTGAATCAGTTTATGCACTATAATAACAGAATTAAACCTTCGCCAATATAACACCAGTTTCAACTCGTCATATGAAGCATGCTTTGACACTTCAAAATTTACATTTAACAACTAATCACGCAATCTGCTATACTATATTTTAATGGTGAGCAGCCAATGGAACATTTTTAGTTTTTCAACACATTAGAAATGTCACCAGGATTGGATGTCAGTGATGGATACTCCATGTGTATTTTAAATACATATGCATAAAGCCCCATCTGGACTGAGTAGGACGCTGACCTCGCAGATCACTATGAGTTTGTGATGCACACTTGCATGGCACCTTCGGCAAATACTGGTGTCAAATCACTTCCTCAATGTAACTGCAGCACATTGTGACAAAGCAAAAAATAGGAGTGAAGTGGATGACTTTGACATTTTTTAAATTTACAGATGGGGAGTGGCTGTCACCGCCTGGCCATCATTTATTGCCTATTCCTAGTTGCCCTTGAGAAGGTGGTGGTGAGCTGGCTTTTTGAACCACTGCAATTCACTGTGCTGTAGGTTGATGCACAATGCCCTTAGGGGCGGAATTCCAGAATTTTGACCCAGTGACAATGAAGGAACAGTGATATATTTCCAAGTCAGGATGGTGGAAGCGGAACTTAAAAGTGGTCATGTGCCGTACCTGCTGCCCTTATCTTTCTAGATGGAAGTGATTGTGGGTCTGGAAGGTGCTGTCTAAGAATCTTTGTGGAATTTCTGCATTGCATCTTGTAGATAGTACACACTGCTGCTACTGAGTGTCAGTGGTGGAGGGCGTGGATGCTTGTGGATGTGGTGCCAATCAGGTGGGCTGCTCTGTCCTGGATGGTGTCAAGCTTCTTGAGTGTTGTTGGAGCTGCATTCATCCAGGCAAGTGGGGAGTATTCCATTACACTCCAGACTTGTGCCTTGTAGATGGTGGACAGGCTTTAGGGAGTCAGGAGGTGAGTTACTTGCTGCAGTATTCCTAGCCTCTGACCTGCTCTTGTAACCACTGTGTTTATGTGGTGAATCCAGTTGAGTTTCTGGTCAACGATAATGCCAAGGTTTTGATAGTGGGGGATTCAAATAGCACCACTGAATGTCAAGGAGCAGTGACTGATCATATTTTATTAGAAACAGTCATTGCCTGGCATATATGTGGTGCGAATGTTACTTACCCCTTGTCAGCCCAGGTTTGGATATTGTCCAGACCTTGCCGCATTTGAACATTGACTGCTTCTAGCTGCAACCAGCTGAATAGTTTGAATGGCTGTAATTTCTATGACTTTTAAAAGAAACATAGGTATAGGTGTGTAAATAGTGCTTTAAACTGAATGGTCCCATTAGGGCAGAATCCATTAGGTGGAGAGCACTGTATTTGGTGGGAACATTTAGAATCATAGAATTTTACTGTACAGAAGGAGGCCATTTGACCCATTGTGTGTGTGCTGGCTCCCAAAAAACCTATACCCCAGTCCCATTCTCAAGCCCTATCTCTATAGCCCTTAAAGTTCATCACTTTCAAATCTATATCAAGCTGTCTTTTGAAACCTTGTATGGAATCCACCTTCACCACTCTCCCAGGCAGCACATTCCAAATTCTAACAACTCTTTGAGAAAAGAAGTTTCTCCTCATCTTACTCCTATTTGTCTTACTGACAATCCTTAAATCGTGACCCCTAGTTACTGATTATACCAACTAGTGGAAACAGAATGTCATTCTTTACCCTGAACATCTAAGAGGCAACCTTATTGAATACCTCAATAAGAGGCGCAACCTCATTGAACACCTCAATAAGGTTGCCTCTTAGTCTTCTCTACTCTAAATAAGCCCAGTTTCTCTAACTTTTCCTTGTATGTAAAATCCTTCATTCCTGGTATCATTCTAACAAATCTCTTTTGAACTTTCTCCAAGGCTTTCACATCCTTCCTTAAATAAAGTGCCCAGAAATGAACACACTACTCCAAATGTGGTCTCACCAATGATTTTTAGTGGTGTAGCATCATTTTCTTGTTTTTAGACTCTTGTTGCTTATTTTCTTGAATACACCTTTATCTAATTGTGTAAGATATTATTGTGACGAATAGTGTCCCATCTATGAGCTGCTTTTGTTTGTATCAACAGGATTATTTATTTTATATCGGTGCATAACTTCGAGCTTATCAAAAAGTGAGTCCACCATTTTTTGACATAGAACACAAAGTGTTTATGAGTTGACATTAAATCAACACCAGTGAGATACTGTTACATTTTAAGCCATATATTCACAGAACACTGCTTTCATTTCAAATGAAATCTATTCCAAATGTGTTCAATTTGAAAAGAAAGGATGGTGCCACAATTTTAATCTACAACATAAACAGTTGCATGTTGTGTATGGATAGCAGCACTTTTGAGGGATGCCATTAATTTTGAGTCTTTCGTGATTAATAACATGTTAATTGGACCTATCAACAAAACCAGATTCATTGCAGTGGTTAATAACAAATCCCCAAGTTTATCTGGACCAAAAACAGAAGTTGCTGGAAAAGCTCAGCAAGTCTGGCAGCATCTGTGAAGATAAAATCTGAGTTAACGTTTTGGGTTCGGTCCCCCTTCCTCAGAATTCAGGTTTATTTGCTCACTCACTGCAAACTTTGCATAAAGCAGCAGAGTTTGAACGGTCGCAAGGTAATTGCTTGCCCTGAAACGTCCTGAGATAGATTTCCATGTTATGCAGATGGTGGTGGGTATCTGTTCTACAAATCCAACGGTGACATTGGAAGGGAAGGTCCAATCTATTATTGTTGTTAGGCCTCACTCTAGTGAAAGCAGCAGCCTACCAGGTGCTGATTGGGGTGTGCATGAGAATTCTGGTTGCTGCTCCAGGGAGCAGAGCCAGAAATTTCTTGTTAGAGGACAAGGCAGCAGGTTGGATTTGGATTGGTGCAGTAGAGGAGGTTTTCCTTCAGTTGAGACACCTGGTTGAGCTGTAGCAGAACCTAGAAGTCCTGATACTGAGAGACAGCGCTAAATCATTTAACTTGCTGATCGGTGGGGCAGTTGCAACCACAATGGGATAACCTGCATTGGAATACTTGTTGACCACCGCCATCCCCATACTTGAAACAACGATTTCTCGATGTAAATTTTCAGTATTTTGACTATAAATTTGAAACTAGCATACCTTGTCCAAATACCGTCTTATAGTGAGATCATCCCTCTGTACAACCTGCATCATTTCCTGGCTTCCCATGTACATGGCATTAGCTAAAAAAGATATAATAATTTTCAGTTAAGCAGGTTAACAATAAACATAACACTTCAACATAATTTTCTAATCTACAATAAAAGCAATAAGAAAATATTTAATCCTAAACACCAGTATAAATCAAATGATTTTCTTTAGAACACTTGGCAGACACCATCTAATTAATGAAAATGTTTATCTTTATGAGAACATAGATGAGGGTGATATGATAGAAGTGTTTTAAGGTGCGACAATTAAATAGGAATGGGTAGAATAAATGTTTAAAACAAGAAAACCCCACCAAAATTTCTTTGCACAGAATTTCCTCTTAGTACTGGACTGAGAAATTGTGGTGTAGCACCTGAAGACTGTTTTGGTTCAGATCAGAAAATTCAGGACAGATCTGGAATCAAACCTGGAACCTTGTGGTCTGTGTGGCTAAACATTTCTGTTCTGCTAACCCAAATCTGTTTTCTTTATCTACTCTCCTTTCTTGGTTCCTCCAATCATCCATAGCCTTCCCCATGATGAGAGTTGACCCATACAGATCCTCAAATGGAATGGTACCTCTGGGTCATCCTTGCTCTTTCACCAGCAGTTCGCAGTTCAGCAACGAGGAAACTGATCAGACACTCCATGTCTCCTGCAACCAGCTAATGCCTCACCTCCACTTGGCAATTCACCCACCCACACAGTTGTGACTAAGACTTTACCTTCAGTAAACATTAAAATGATTTCTAAACATGTCCATTTCTACTGGTTGAAATCAGTTTTTACAAAAAAACAAAACCTCGCACAAGTCTGCAATTTTGTACTGGTTTGCCAGGTTATTTCAAACTATTTTCAACTAAAAGCACAGAAAACAGAAGCATAAGTAGGCTATTCTGCCCTTCAAGCCTGCTCCATCAGTCAATATGATCATGGCTGACCATCCAACTCAAAAACCTGTTCTCAATTTCTTCCATACACTTAATCCCTTTAGACCTAAAATCTATATCAAAGTCCTTTCTGAAAACATTCAACATTTTGACCCCAGCCACTTTCTGTGGCAGAGAATTTCACAGACTCACCACTCTCTGGATGAAGAAATTTCTCCTCATCTCAGTCCTAAACAGTTTACTCTGTATCCTTAGACAGTCACCCCAGTTCTGGACTCCTCAGTCATCGGAAACATGCTTCCTGTGTTTACCCTGTTTAGTCCTGCTAGAACTGTACAGATTTCAATGAGATTCCATCCCCCCAATTTTTCTAAACCTCGGTGAATATTGTCCTGATTGATCCAGGCTCTCTTCATGTGTCAACTCTGCCATCCTGGGAATCAGTCTGGTAAATCTTCATTTCACATTCCCCCTAACCAGAACATCCTCCTCAGATAAGGAGGCCATAACTGCACATATTACTCCAGATCTGGTCTCACCAATGCTTTGTACAACTGCAGCAAGACATTCCTGCTCCTGTACTTGAATTCTCTGACTATGAAGGTCAACATACCATTTACCTTCTTCCTCACCTGCTGCAGCTTCAAGCTTGCTTTTAGCGACTGGTATACAAGGCTGATAGGAACTTTCTGAAGGAAATGACCTTTCTGAAGAAGGGTCTAGGCCCGAAACGTCAGCTTTCCTGCTCCTATGGTGCTGCTTGGCCTGCTGTGTTCGTCCAGCTCTACACCTTGTTATCTCTGGTATACAAGGATCCCCAGGTATCAATACGCCTCCCACTTTCCCAATCAATTGCCATTCAGATAATAATCTATTAGGATTTTTGCTCCTAATATTGATTGCAAGAATGGAAGATGTTTGGATTATGACTGCGTAACACTAGCCTACAGACTTGAAAGGCGAACTAATTAAAATAATAATCAGTTCTAATAAAGAGTCACCAAAATGGAACAATTAATTCTGCTTTCTTTCCACAGATGCTGCCAGACCTGCTGAGTTTTGGTTTTTGAAACAGCTCCACACTTTGTTCCAAAATGATGAACATTTCTTAAAGAGAGATTCTACATCCTAAGGAAGCATATTCATTTGGATTTTACCTGATAATACACGCTGAGCCTTTAAAATGTAAGCTGCACTGTAAACAGCTTTGGTTTATGATAAGATTTCAGTGAGATACAGTGGACCAAAATAACTTGGACACTGAGTAGTCATTTTACTCAGAATTACATTCTCTCCGAGACATAACAACAAAATAGATTTTCAATATGCTGCTTCCTATAACAGTGACAGTGAAAATCCATTGCCCATTTTCCTTCCAGGGAGGAATTTGCTCACTTTCAAAACGGGTCAAATTATTCTATACTTTTAGGCTGACAATTGTAAGATGAATTGCATGATATAAACAGACCCTCGAGTCATTAAGCCCCCTAGGTCTGAGGATAGATTGCAGTTTCAAAATCTTTTTGTTGCTACAACAAACTGCCCGAAAGAATTTTTTACAAAGTAAGTTGTGTTGCAATAAACTTCAATTCTGGACAAGGCAGATGGATAGTTTACAGTCAGAAGGGTTGTCCCTCTGTCATGAATCTGTGTTGCATTAGTCTGACCATAAGTATGCTCTTAAAGAATTTGCTTCCCTACAGTGTTTTATAAAATGGCATTTAGCCAATGAAAAGTTTCCTCTGCTCAAACATTTGTTTTACATTTGTTTTACATTATTGATCAGAGGATGGAAGATAATTAAAAAATATTACTCCTTTGTCAATTAACAAGATTAAATATGAGCTGCATACAAATAAGCACATAAAGTTTGTAGTTTAGAACTGAAAAAGAACCTATCTACAAAAAACACAAGCCTGTCAAAAATAGAATGTTACATTAAAGAACAGTGTGCCTTAAACATATGTTACTGCCACTATACACATACCTGCACTTGATTCTGGAGTAAGAAACACAGTGATTTCCTTCTGCTTAAGTTTGGTGATTTATATTTATGTTTTAATGGAATCCATTAGTGATGTTTGAGCAGCGGGTGTCACACTATTGAAACACCACTTAGCTTCTGTTTCACAGCAGAAGCATTTCATTAGTGGCCGAAGCAGTTTATGAGCTCTGAATGCCTGTATTGTGTTGCAAGCATTGAAAGGAGCAAGTTGGCTCATTGCTTGAGAACAAATACAGAATAAACACGTAAAATTAAGTGTTCAGAGTGCTAATCTAATTATTCCAATCCATCTTTAAAATGTGGTGTCTTATGATTAGGAAGATTAAAACTTCTGTATCTATTTTACCTTACATATTCCAATATGGAAAGTAGTTCTTAAAAGCTTCAACACTAGCCTCTTGGCACTTTATAGCTGAATTAAACGTTGACCAACCAATAACAATACTAATTTTTGGCTACAACTTCGAATGATAATTTCACATTCAGCATTGCAATTTTTCAGAAGTCATTGTTCCACTTGCAGCAGTCAAGTCAGAAGCATGTACCAGGGACCAATCAGGTGGCTTTCTAAAATAAACAGTCTGTGCAATTTGCTTTGTTTACAAAAGGTTTGACTGTTTGCAAGCAAAAGAACTCTAGAGTGGTCTTTTCTGATTATGTTCTGTATGTCCTGCTTGGATATTGCTTCATTCTCCTCCTGTCAACATCTCACATCTATGAACAATTACGATAATACTCTGTACTTCTATTCCTTGAAAATACTAATTTCTTGACATAACACTATAGAAGATCATAATTGCTGCAGATCACAGAGAAAAAAAATTAAGAAATTTATTTTTGCTTTATATTTCACATTGTAATTAGGATTATCTTCAATCATTTAAGATCTTTAATCATTTAATATACAATTTGAATTTGTAGTCAATCATGGATGAGAGTAAACACATGTACAGACAGATGCTCTTCAGAACTTAATCTTCTTGCTATGCCATTTCAGTCATGTGACATTCCTTGACTGAGTGGCAATCATGGTTTGTTCGGAATGTATCAGTAATTATTTGAATTGAGGAGTGCAGTGGGCTTCACTAACTTACAAAGTGAAAATTGTACATGGAGAAAATAGACCTGACTTGGTCAGAAAAAACTAGGTTGCATGGGAGCATTGAACTTTGGATGATGAACATGGTTAGGAAACCCAAATGGTGGGTAACTCTTAAAAACCAAAAGAACTGTAATGCTCTAAATCAGAAACAAAAACAGAAATTGCTGGAAAAGCTCAGCAGGTCTGGGAACATCTGTGGAGAGGAATCAGAGTTAACGTTTCGGGTCAAATGACTCTTCCTCAGAGCTGATGTTAGCTAGGGTAATGTCGGTCTATATGCAGAAGGTAGGGTGGGGGGAGGGGGGTTGGGTCTTGCTTGTTCATTCAATCTGGATATGTCATTTGCAAATGGACTGTTTAAGAATGTAGAAATTAGCACTGGACCTTTTAAGTCCAAAACTCTCATTGCAGTTTGTAGTACTATAGTAATGGTGGACATCATCCTCAGGTCTCAGATCAAGAAAAGAACGTTTGGCGTAAAACAAAATCTTAATCATCACAGCTATCTTCCAAATAGGTCTAAAGGAAGCTTTCTGGATTTTGTCCAATGATTGTCAGAATGAGCATTAACCCTGATGGTCCATCTCTTCTAAGTTAATATATGAAGTTTCAATCCATTATCTAATTTACAAGTCTTTTAAAAATGCCACTGTTATAGTGAATAAATGAGGTCAGTTTTGTTCATTCCTCGCACTTAGCTGTCACTGGGCCAATTACCCATTTGTAGCTTCCCCTGAGAAGGTAATGGTGGACTTGCTGCTTGAAATGTTCTGGGTTGTGCAGTGAAAGTGTCCTCATAGTTCGTTACTGGCAGGAATTTGTTCTGGTAACAATGAAAGGACAGTGATACATATTCAAACCGGGATGGTATGTGATTTGGATAGCCACTTGGAATTAATGGTGTTTCAATGCACCCTGCTGTCTTTATCTTTCTAGGTGGTGACGATCATGGGTTTTGGAAGCTCTGCCAAGGAAGCCTTGATGAGTTGCTACAGTGCATCTGCCAAAAATGTACGTGATAAGACCATTGTATTC